TTGCTTCCTACTGTTGCTTTTTTTGTCCCTTGTAAATAGCCTGCAAGGCTTTGCGACAAAAAAAAAAGTTCCATCGCAGCTAGTGCGACGAATCTGTTGTGTGATTGCTGCTAGTCCGACGTGGCTGTTGCGTGACACATGTTGCTGCTTGAGCGACTAACGTTTTCAGAAGCTGCTGTGTGACACATGTTGCTGCTGATGCGACGAATGTTTTTGAAAGCTGCTGCGCGAGAAATGTTGCTGCTTCTGCGGCGAACGTCATCAAGAGCTGCCGCGTGAAACATGTTGCTGCAAGCACGATGAACATTATTGGTGGCTGCTATGTGAAACATGCTGCTGCTTGTGCAACGAACATTTTCAGGCGCTCCCTTGGCTTCACTCGGCCTCCCTTAAAACTGCCAAACTGCGCTTGCAAAATGCCTTGCGACGCTGTGCAGCGCGCGGTCAACTGATGCGGGGTGATCAATCTGCTTGTGCTGTCTGGCGTCCCTTAGCTTCACTCGGCTTCCCTTACAACTGCCAAACTGCTCTTGCAACATGCATGGCGACACTGCTGGCAGCTTGTGGAAGCGGGTGGAACAGTGTTGGAGAATGGATGCATAATAATGTATGGAAGGGATGGAACTGGTGGAAAATGGATGGATGATTGATGGCAACTAAAAAAACAAAGTACACTAAAGGAGAAAGCAGATGGGATGGCTCGGACATGGATGGGAACCTGGACGGGGCTCAAGTAACAGGAAAGGCAAGGACGTGCAGGGACTGGAAGTGCAGGAGCGGGCCTGACGGGCTGGCCCCCGCCCTCCTTCCACTTCTTTTTCGACTTGGAAGCACCCTGCGGGCAACTTTCCGGTAGATGACGAGTAGCGACTGAAGGGCAGTGAAACAGATGACACTTCAAATGCAGGAAAATGAAGTGACAGGGCGGGAAACATCCAACGGAAGCAACTGCGGCCTTTTCGGCTCTGACACCATGCGCATTCCCTGGCTGGCGCGACCATCGCCTTTTCTCCATGGCTGAAGCGGTCTATGACTGAGAAGCGCCCTGTGGGCAACTTGCCGCCTCCTCCCTTTCGAGCGCGTTTGCAATCGCGACTGCTGCTTCTTCTCCATGTCTGCAGAGGCACATGACTGAGAAGCGCCCTGGGGGCAACTTCCGCCCTGTTTCCGTTCTAGCGCGTGCATGCTGCTTCAACCTGCGCATGTGGGTTTGGCGTGTTGGCGCGCTTCTGTGGTTTTAGCTGTCGAGCAGTTTGCACAAGGCTTCGCGCTGGGGTGCTTACAGGGGGGAGAAATGCGACTGACACGGCGCAGGGAGCTCAAACGCACAGGAAGCAAAGGGAAATGCCAGGAAACTCTCAAAGTTGCAGGAAAGACGCGCAAAGGAAGTGAGGTTCAAATCTCGGCATCTCATCCGAATTAAAGGACAGGGAAGTGACAGAACAGGCAGGGCCAGGTGCCCGGTGGCCGGCTGTGTCGCGTCAGCGTGTAAATCCGGCCACCGGACGTGATCGGGCCGCAGGCCAAAGCCCGTTGGGGCTTACCTTCAGGTATAAGGCCGCGCGCCCCATGCCGCCGACCATGAGCGGACCATGCTCCGACCATGCGGGTACGTTTTGGGCTGGGCCCTCCCTTATAAGGGGCGAAGGATTTGCGGATTGGTTTAGGCGATTTTCGAGGATTTTTGTAGCACCTCCCCGCAGCGCCCAAAAACGAGCATTTTTAGGGGGTGCCTAGTACTGGACAACACCCCCAGCATTGCCAGCACCATCCCGGATGATGCGGATGATGTTATGCATGCTGGCGATGCGGGTGATGCTGGGGATCTTAAAATATGAAATTCCGAAATTCTCAAACTCTTAAAATCTCAGAATCTTAAAAGCTTCAAAAACTTAAATTCTTTAAATCTCGAACTATTGCAATCTGAAAATCTTAAATCATGAACAAATAAAATATAATAAAATTCCTTCAATCCGGGCTATATTCTAAATTCCTTAAACTCTTAATCTTGAAATTTTGAAGTCTTGACATCTTAAGATCTTAAAATCTTAAATTCCGAAAGTCGCCAAATCTGAAAATCTCACCAAAAATAAAATCTTAAAGCCTTCGAAATCTGATAATGGATGGAAATGGCTGGGCAATGGCCTGGCTGTTATAACCTTCAAAAACCTTAAATCTTCGAATCTTAGAACCTTAATTCTTAAACCATTGAAACCTTCAATTCCGAAAGTCTTCAAATCTGAGACCCTTAGAATCTCAAAGTTTTTAGAATTTTGAAATCTTAACATCTACTCATCGGACTTACAGGAAAGGGAAGTGACAGAAACCCTCATGTCTTTGAATCTTCAGATATTAAAATCTTAAAATATGAAATTCCGAAATTCTCAAACTCTTAAAATCTCAGAATCTTAAAAGCTTCAAAAACTTAAATTCTTTAAATCTCGAACTATTGCAATCTGAAAATCTTAAATTCATAAACAAGTAAAATATAATAAAATTCCTTCAATCCGGGCTATATTCTGAATTCCTGAAACTCTTAATCTTGAAATTTTGAAGTCTTGACATCTTAAGATCTTAAAATCTTACATTCCGAAAGTCGCCGCCAAATCTGAAAATCTCACCAAAAATAAAATCTTAAAGCCTTCGAAATCTGATAATGGATGGAAAATGGCTGGGCAATGGCCTGGCTGTTCTAACTTTCAAACACCTTAAGTCTTTGAATCTTAAAACCTTAATTCTTAAACCATTGAAGCCTTAAATTCCAAAAGTCTTCAAATCTGAGACCCTTAGAATCTCAAAGTGTTTAGAATTTTTAAATCTTAACATCTACTCATCGGACTTACCGGAAAAGGAAGTGACAGAACGGGCAAGGCAAGGTGCCCGGTGGCCGGCTGTGTCGCGTCAGCGTGTAAATCCGGCCACCGGGGGCTTCAGACCCCGTGGTCCGTGATACGGCCGAAGGCCTAGGCCCGGAGGGCCTACCTTCAGGTACAGGGCCGGCCGCCCTGTGCCGCCGACCACCGCCGACCATGCGCTATACTTTTGCGCTGCGCCAAGCTGGGCCCACCCTTATAAGGGGCGAAGGATTTGCGGATTTGTTCAGGCGATTTTTGGCGGCTTTTTGAGCATCTCCCCGCGGAGTCAAAAAACGAGTGTTTTTTGGGGGTGCCCATAGTGGACAACATCCCCGGCATCACCTGCACCATCCGCATCCTTGGCGGACATTGATGCGGATGATGCCGGTGATGCGGGGGATGCTGGGGATGTTGTCCCCGAAGTCGGACCAACTTTGCCGAAAACGTGCAACCTGAAAATCTTAAAATCTTAAAGTGGCTGGAAAATGGATGGAAAATGGCCTGGATTGAAATCTCAAAATCCTAAGTCTTAGATTCTTAAAATCTTAAATTAAAATCTAACAATCAATCTTAGAATCTCGAGATCTTAAAATCTTTGAACTTAGAATCTTAAAATCTGAAAATATAAAAACATCCTAAAGTCTCGGGGGATGCTGGGGATGTTGTCCCCTAAGTCGGGCCAACTTTGCCGAAAACGTGCAACCTGAAAATCTTAAAATCTTAAAGTGGATGGAAAATGGATGGAAAATGGCCTGGATTGAAATCTCAAAATCCTAAAGCTTAAAATCTGAAAATATAAAAACATCCTAAAGTCTCGGGGGATGCTGGGGATGTTGTCCCCTAAGTCGGGCCAACTTTGCCGAAAACGTGCAACCTGAAAATCTTAAAATCTTAAAGTGGATGGAAAATGGATGGAAAATGGCCTGGATTGAAATCTCAAAATTCTAAAGTCTTAGATTCTTAAAATCTTAAATTAAAATCTAACAATCAATCTTAGAATCTCGAGATCTTAAAATCTTCGAACTTAGAATCTTAAAATCTGAAAATATAAAGACATCCTAAAGTCTTCGAATCTTGAAATCTTAAAACCCTTATGTCTTAGAATCTTGCGATCTTAAACTCTTAAAATATGAAATTCCTACAGTCTTAAAATATAAACATCCTAAAGTCTTCGAATCTTGACTTCTTAAAACCCGAATATTTTTGAATCTTCAGATGTTAAAATCTAGAAATATGAACTTCCTAAAATTCTAAAAGTCTTAAAATCTCAGAATCTGAAAAGCTTTCAAAACTTAAATTCTTTAAATCTCGAACTATTGCAATCTGAAAATCTTAACTTCATAAACAAGTAAAATATAATAAAAGTCCTTCAATCCGGGCTATATTCTAAATTCCTTAAACTCTTAATCTTGAAACTTTGAAGCCTTGAAATCTTGAGATCTTAAAATCTTAAATTCCGAAAGTCGCCAAATCTGAAAATCTCCGAAAAATAATATCTTAAAGCCTTCGAAATCTGATAATGGATGGAAAATGGCTGGGCAATGGCCTGGCTGTTATAACCTTCAAAAACTTTAAATCTTTGAATCTTAAAACCTTAATTCTTAAACCATTGAAGCCTTAAATTCCAAAAGTCTTCAAATCTGAGACCCTTAGAATTTCAAAGTGTTTAGATTTTTTTAATCTTAACATCTACTCATCGGACTTACCGGAAAGGGAAGTGACAGAACGGGCAGGGCAAGGTGCCCGGTGGCCGGCTGTGTCGCGTCAGCGTGTAAATATGATATGATATGATATGATATGATACAGTGTAGTGTAATGTAATATGACGTAATACAATGTATGCATATGTACATACATACATACATATATATATATATATAATGTATAATGTACGTTTGGGAATTCCCAACCCGATTCCAAAAGTACGTCCAACCTCCAGAAGTCCCAGGACTGTCTCTGCAACCAATGTAGATTTGGGTGCGTCCTTTTTTGGGTGACCCTCCACAAAAATGATTGGTGTCCTTTTGGTCTCTTTTTAAAAATCAGCCAAAAAGGGTGCCTTCAAAAACGACACACCTATCTATGGTCTATGGCTGTCATGCTGAATCTTGCCTACAACTTCTTGCGTCGTTCTTGCTGAGTCACTTTGCGGCTGTCAGCGTTGGTCGCAGGCCAAGTGCCTCCGGGCAAATTGAATGCCATGGCCCGGTTGCGTGCGGCATGTGCATCTAAATCAGACCAAGCCTACACAACGGCAGTCTTCTGTCTTGCAGGGAACTCGAAAAGCATTGAGAATTGTTGCATAAATACGCCATAAAGCCGATTGGCCATACCAGGTATCAGTATCAACATCAACCAAATGAGCGGCTGCTATACAGTTGTATGTGGCGGTGTCAACCGGATCAAACCTTTTGATCACGTGGGCCGCACTTTGTGCGAGAGTGTTGGTTTCGCCCCCAAAGCCTTAAGGTCATGCCATCTTTCACATGTGGAAGGTGCCCGACCATCAACTTGACAAAGGACGCATTTGCAAAGCTCGCCAACTCGTGTCTCTGATTTTTGCTAGGTTGCTAGGTTGCTAGGTTGCTAGATTGCTAGATTGATTTCCAAATGCCGAAGAGGCCACAAGAAACGTCAACCATCTGCCCATTCTCACTGTTGGATTTTATGGCATCCCTGAAAATGTCATCTTTCAGTGACTCCTGGCTGCAACGGTGTTTGCAAATTGGCCCTGTGGTGTCTTGCACTTCACCCCAGAACCTTTGTAAAGAAGCCAAGGACGTTTTTGGTTATGTATATATATATATATATATTACGAGCCTGTAGTTGGGTACGGCCCCACTTAAAACGAACTCAACCCGAATCGCACCTGCACGATCTCTTTGGTGGAACGGTAGAGGCCTGGCGCATCGCACTCGGCCTTTTAGGGCGCTATGACTTCAAACCAGCCAACGAATCAGCCTGCTGCATGTGGCATGAGAAAAAAAATGCGAAGCTCTTCTGGACGGAAACGCCGGCTCCCTTTGAGCGTTTCACCAGTCTCAACTTGAGGTCCAAAGAGGTGAGATGTCAAGCCAGAAAGCCGGGATCATTGCAGTCAAGTCGTTAAGATTTCAGGCGCTCGGTCAGAAGAGCTCGCCTTGCACACTGGTCCAAGCGCACAAGTCGTTTAACGATGCACCCCCCCCCCCCCGAACTGCTTGAAGTGGATGGCTCTGAGCTACGTTCGAACGACTCAGGATCTTGGAAATGTGTCGCTCGACGTCAACACGACGACATGCTCATGACCAATCTGCGCCAGCGCAGCTGTCGCGATTTCCGTTCTTGTCCACTTCTGCTTCCACCACCTCGTCCCCGGCCTGCACCTTGGCTATGCCCAATTTCTGAGAGGCGACTGTGCAGTGTGTGAAGACTCGGCGAGAACTTGGAAGATCTCAAAATAGCTTCCATCTGCCAAAATGAATCCGGATACAAGCAAAAGTGTGGCAAAGATGGCAGGGAATGCAACCTTTTGTTCCGCAGCGGGCAGTGGATAGCTCGGTTGTGCCAGTTCGAAACCTTCAGGTCGGAATTCCGCCGAGCCACCCCTGCACTGGCTGCAGCTCCATCCTCTGCATCGACAGCTTGCACTGTCAGCCTCGACCACAAAGGCATCCAGTGACTGCTTCTTGATAGCCACACACACGCTGACAAACACGAATCCTCCACGCGATGCTTGCTTACACACAAACACACCCTACACACAAACACGCCCTACACACACATGCTTCCTTGTTGCCTAGGTGCTGTTCAACGGTACAGGGAGGCTGCATGAAGCACAAAAGCATCGGATTGAATTGTGCTATGCTGAAAGTTGGGTCTGTGCAGGCAAAGGCTCAAAGCTGCTTCGACGCATTCGCTCTGAGTGCTGGACGGCTGGGCATTGTCCAGGGACACACTGCCTCAGCGATGAGGCTCGGCCGGCTGGCTCGCAGACTCCGATGAGCGGCTGAAAGCTCGAGTCGCTGCAGTCAAGTGTTACGACGGCATTGCGCCTGAGCCGGCCTGCGTCCACATGTAAAATAGATTGACATCAAGAAATGGCTCTTCAAGTACGAACACAAACAAGAAGCGCGCTTGATCGCAAATAGATCTGTGCAAACATATTTCTCCTACAGCCTCAGTCAAAACAGCTTAGGTCTTTCACTGCTCTTGGCAGCGCAAAAAAATGGCTTGCTGACTGAATCCGCGCTTATGCTGGACTTGGTACTGTCTTAAGACCAGCAAGGACTAAAGTGACTAAGGCACTCTCAGGTCGCTGTGAGGGAGTCTCTCATGGAGCAAATGGTCCTGTATTCCAACAAAATTATCATTGTGCGTTGCGAGTTTGAAGGTGAGAGATGCGCTCGAATGGTGGTGTCTCCTGTCCTGTCTCAGAAACTCGGCTGTGGTGCTGTCAAAATAGGGCTACCCGGCAAAACACACACCCAGCCATTCCCACCACTGTGCATCTGACTAAAGCGGAGTTCCTCCATGACCTCGTCGTGGCTGTCAAACTGCACCTGGTGATCCATGGAATCCACGCGGCTGTTCAGCAGAAACAGCGCCTACTGTGCCGAAGATTTCGGATCTGGAACACCTCAAGACAAGCTGGTTGATCGTCATTTCAACCAAAGCAAATCTGATAGGATCCATACTCTGCTCTCTTGCCATATTGCCCGGTAAGTTGTACGCTGTATCATGATTGTCCTACCACTTTTGCACGCTGAATCAGGCCTGGTTTCGTAGTTTCGCGCGTCCAAATCAGGCTAAGGGTGTGGGACATGCCTCGTTTGTTTGAGCAGTCTTTGCGGATTCTCTTGCCAACATAGTTGTTTTCTGTGGGGTACTGCATCTCCGGCATTTTGCTTGAGCTTAATTGTGTACGTGAGAGAACCTAGCATCCTTATCTTCACGATGCCCATTCTCCTGACCCGAATTCGCCCGAGTTGAAACCAAGCTTAAAACACGGAGGTGACTTCTTTTTCAGCCCGAACAAAAAGAAACTCAAGTTCGCAAGCTACTGGCTTTGGATCATCTTCTGCTTCCCTCTTAGCCCTTGAAGCCTTGGTGATGCAATGCAAGTGGTTCATCCCCCTCCGCTCCTTGCCTCTACCTCCCGGTAGCCGCGCACCAGGCTGACCAGCAAGCGCAGCCTGTGGTTCAAGGTTTGAGTCGTCAATGAGTCAACCCGGCGTCCAATGTGCAAAGCTCAGAAAATGATTTACTTGGCACTGAGCCTCGCCTGAAAATGTCTGAGTCCATACCAGTGATTGGTGTTCCCAATTTCTGCCTTCTGGGGAGAATTCAAACAATCTCAGCCACAGAGCCGCGGAGTGGGTGTTTGCGAACTGGGCCGGTCCACTTGCAGACTGCCTCCATTTGCTGGCTGCCAAAACCCATTGTTCATGGCAGAGTTTGAGAGAACTGATATTGAAGCTGGACTGGGCAAGACAAGAACAACTTGTAAATTGTCTTAACCACCTCAATCTCAGTGCGCCTGTGTCATGCAAAAAGGTGCCAAACAAGGAAGTGAAGCAGAAACATGACTCAGCAAGCAGGATGGTATCCACAACACCCGACACGAAGCATCGACAGGAAGCCGGCTTGACAAAACGCAAAAACCTTACAGGTAGTCAACGCGCCAGGTGGCCACAAGTCGGCGATGTGAGCCATTGTTGGGGACTATGGTCTTAACTGAACCTCCGAAATGCTAGGCTCCCCGGCATCCGAAGATGAAGCTCCTTGCAAAACTTTTAGCATTTCGATGCATGGAGAGTAGGAAAGGGTTGCCCGAGGGAAAGTGCTCGGTCGGGTCCTCCAAAAAGAATCAAGCAACACAAGTCGGGTACCAAAAACTTGCACGCTAAGTGCTCGCTAGAAATGCGTTGTTCAGCAGCATGCCAAATGGCAAAGCACTAGACCCAACACGACAGCAACATCCCATAGTTCAATCTCTGCGAAGTGCCAGGGGCATAGACATAGAAATGATGATGTGCTTGTTTGGGTCTCACACAAAAGACATCACGATGATGCTACAAGGGCTGCCTTGCCGAACCTAAGTTTTCGCCAAAACGCGACGCATGTCACGCACCTTGTCAACACATCCAGTCTCAGCGCCCGGCACGGTTGCAGGCTTGCATAGCGCCACGCAGGCCATTTGCACCTGGAGACACGGCTGTGGGTCAAAAATAGGTGCCCAAAATGGCTTGCCCTGGGAAGTGGAAACATGGACCTGCATGCAGTGAAACCTTGACTCATGCCGCCGCTGTCACGTCACGCACGGCCAAAAGCGCGACTCAGGCTCCGGCGAGAGTTGAAACCTACAACCACCGCGACACGGCCTTGGCAAAGTTGATTCGAATTGCACTGCTGAGATTTGAAACCCACAACTCAATACTGTCTGAGAGCATGTAAATTGCCGGCCCTGAGTTTCAACCAACTAGCAGAATCTTTGTGCACCAGAGCACTGTCTGTAAAGGCACGCGGCCTCTATCGACTCAAAGAAGCAACTTGAGTCATAATCAAAACCCGGTATTAAAATGGTCGACACAGAGCCATGTAAAGAAGTAAGAAGGCGGATATCCGCAGCTATTTATGCCGGGTTTTGAGCACGTGACTCAGTTGTCACCCGGCAATGATCACCCGGGTGCCCCGTGCACTTTTCCGCCAAGGAGGCCCGCAGCTGGCTCGCTTCCGCGCGGCGCCTCTGCGGAAGCTCTTTGGTTCGGTGCCACCAGTGCCACGCAGGCATGGGTTTGTCCCACAAAAAACAGGAGCCTCCAAAATGGGTGGACGTTCACCAAAAAGAAACACTAAGTATGTTGAGAGTCATTCAGGAATCTGTCTGGGAATGTCTTCCACTGCTAGCCCTGCGAATGCCGCTCTGCCGGGCAAAAGCAGCTTCATCCATTGTGCCAGGTGCATTTCACCGGACACAAAGCACTTTGGCTAGCGGCCAACGCTGTACTTGCGAACCTCCTTTCCAATGTCAGCTGCCCACGGCAAAGTGCGTCAACTTGCCAAAATGCTACTGACTTCTGACAGACATGATTCATTCAAACGATTCTCTGCATGTTGATGGTTCAGGCAAAGAAGGATATACTTGCAACCCTTCCCTTGGCAATTGCTTTACTCTCCTGAAGGCTCGTAGTCTTACTGAATGAATAGAGCCCCATCCAGAGATCATGCGCAGTGGAAAGAACCTTACCCGGGTCGGACCAAAGACAGGCAGCTATATTCTGGAAGCCGAGCAGCACGCAAGGTCACGGCCGCTCACATCGAGCAGCGAATGCTATGAGCCGCTCTATCTGGCAACCATGGTTGCAACATCCGGCAGCCTGATTTCCTCCGCAGCCCAGCTGTAAAGGGGTGGATCGTCACGACCTTCAGCCACATCATTCTCTCGAATCCCGGCCAAATGCGAGAGAAGCCGCAGCTCGGCATTGGTCGCGGCAGCTTTTCGCTGAGCCCCAAGCTTCCAATGTCAGCATTCTCGATGGTTAGGGGCAGCCTCAGGTGCGCATGCCTCTCTTCCAGCTGCTAGGCAATCATCAAGAACACAAGTGGCCATGGGTCAAAATCCAAATCGTACCCCCAGTGAAAATCCCAATCCCCACTAAAATAGACTTTAGTGGGTGGTGCACCTACCCCAAAATGGTACCATTGGTTTTGACCCGCAGCCAAGTGACTAGATTGGGGCTCATAGAATAAATGGCAGTTGAAATGGAGACCCCTCTTTACTGGGCAGGCGCGCGGATCGGCCAGGTCCGAAACAGTGACAGCCTTAGCATCGATCCCAAGAGGACACCGGGGCGCGCTACCTGTGATGCCTGTGCTCTTTTGCATTGGCCCGGCAAAGCCTAGCACATACAAGTTGTCCGCACAAACAAACTGTTCCTTGCATGAGAAGACCTCCCTGAGAAATCGATTCTGGCGGCAGCATGAAGAACACTGCTTTTCATCTCTGTTAGGGAAAACGGCAGAAATAAAAAAAGGAACGAATAGCTCGTACTGGAGCTTCACTCCAGCACGCACAAACTCCTACTCGCAAGTGCCAACCGCGAAACTTGTTTCGGTCGCAGCTGTTGAAACTTTGCAAGTCCCAACTGGTCCCCCTTTAGTCAATGTCACTGCAAATCTGAGGTTGGTGAACCTCACAGGACCTCTGGCTCTTCACTCCAAGCAACCAAAGGACCGGGGGCCCCGTTTTGGGCGCACCACACACTCTGGTGCTCCCCGGGTCACCGGGCCCTGGTGCCGGAGCCGGACTCCAGGCCGCTCGGGCCGTGGCCGATCTCCACGGCAAAGCCTTTGGCGCAACTTGTGACTGGGGACCCCTTTGATGGACGTCATTTAAGTGGGGATTCACGACCACCAACCACTTGAGGTGGTCCCCTACTAAAATTCATGGCCACATCAAGGTCGGCAACATCACTTGTTGTGCCTTGTCCCACTGACAAAAACATCAAGAAACACAGGAAACGGTGTGCCTCTCGTTGACCAAAACATCAACATCCCCCTGGAAACACCCGTTTGCTTGGGCTGTAGGGAGATGGTAGCGCCTGCTTCCCCAAGTGTTGTGACCGTCTGACACATGAAGCTAGCAGCTTGGTTCAGTGTGCTCACTGCCCCAAGATCGCGGCAGATATAGATTAAAGAGGGTTCCCGATCGTGCTTGGCTTGGTGCCTAAGTGCATCTCCATAAACGCATCCAACAGTTTCTGAAACCCCGGTATTGTCTTTTTCTTTTTCTGGCCCTGCAAAAGGTACCACAAAGGAACTGAACATGTCCATCGAGTCAAGCACCCACCACTGCGCCAGCCGCGGCACCTGGCCCCATTCCGATCCGGCGTTGAAGGTACATGCAGACCGAGACTTGGGCGTATCTCTGAAAGAGACGTGCTGTGGCTTTGAAAGAAAGTTGGAGTTGCAGAAAGGCAACTTCCATAAATTTGTCTGACTTTGGGCTTTTGAAAGGACTGAAACTCCTGAGAGCCGCCTGCGCCCGGCACAGAGGCCACTCGTAGTACCACTCGCTCACCTACGCCGACGACCTCAGGCAATCTGGCACGGGCGCTTGGACATTTTGGCTTTTGATCAACTGCGCATCAAGCGCAGAACACTTGGAATAGACGGCACAAGCTCTTTGCAATCTCGTTGATGCAATTTCCGCATCGCGGATCACATTGCATCACCATCTCCTTCTGCATCATCTGCATCACTACACTTGTGACCCATGCGAAACACAACCGAGAACGTTCAAGACAACCGAGACCGGCGCCATGTCGTTCCCATAGGCCTTCTCGAAGCACACGCGGTACTTGGTTGCCTGCGAAGAGGAAGGCCTGAATTGGCATAGGCCCAAAAATGGGCATGGGTCAAAATCCCATCCGTACCCGCAGTATCCCCAGTAAAATAGGTTCTAAAATGGGTGGTGCACCTACCCAAAAATGGTACCATTGACCCACAGCCAAATCTGAGATGTAACCAGAAGGACTGAACCGACACTGAACCTTTCACGTCCTATTCAAGTCTGACAAACTGACGATCGGCTCGTGAAATCTGTCCTTGCCATCAGTCGCCTCAGGCTGCGGGTTTGCATGGACGAGAGCTGGAAGCCACGGAGATATTGACACGACTCTCCAAAGGGCGACCCAAAGGGAGACCTTTTCCATTGGCTATTCTGCCTCTTAGAAGCACATTAACTGAGTAATTTGCTGGTCATTCTGCATCAGACATGTTTGAATACCAACGCATTTGTCCAGAGCCCTCTTGAGGCTCCGACCAAGCTGCCGGTTCGAGCCTAACACCGCGACGAGCTGTTGATGCGACAAACAAATGGGTGTGCCTCTTCTTGAGGGTACCAAGGGAGGTCAAAGGCCTCCTAAAAGAAAACACATCCAAGTTCAAATAGTGAACATGTTACGACACCCCGTCTCTCACCCAGATCAAGATCTGCCCTATCAGGCTGCGGCAGGCTGAAACTTCTGCGACTTGGAGCGCATGCTCTCCGAGGAGCACAACCTCCGGTGCCCATAGGTGTCCTTTTTGGGAAAATAGATGGGCCTGGTAGTTGATTGAACCACCAGGTAAACCAGGGCCCACTATTTTTAAACCAAATCAAACAAAAACAGGACACCTATGCTGGTGCGTTCAAAGCCAAGCTTCTCTCCACACAGCTGGCGGATTGCCCCGGACCCCGAGTCCGGGACGGCTGGGGATCCTCGCTGAGAAGATCATCATCCAGGTCCTGGAAGCTGTCGGGCTCTGTGCGAAGGATTCGAGAAGCTTGCGTCTGGGACATGTTCTTGGAAGGGAGTTCCTGCACTGCCCTTGCCAATATGCGAGACTTGCAGACCACAAGCTATCTCTTGTCAATCTGAATCTGGACAGACGGGACAGCCCGTTCTCCGACGTGACTTTGCTTTGCGCCTGACGCGCTTGCGCTAGGATGGACTCAATCTCCTCGGAGGTGGCCTTTGCCAGCGAAGCAAGTTGATGTCGAAGACCATCAGAATGCAAGATGTGATTCACGGAATCCTTCATCTGCCATTGCCATTTCTGCCATGCTGGATTCATTCAGTTGATGCAAAGAGGAAGAAGGAAAGGTTAGCATGCCAAGAACTGAAAATGGACTACCGCCCGAAATGTCCCCGGCAATCTTTGCTTATACCATCCTGGCCAAAGACTGGCAGTGCGTCAGTCAGGCTCGGAACATCTGTCCACATGGGGGAGGTTGTCAAACAAATGACCCGCTGTGGACCCTGTTGCCGCCCAAGGCGGTGCCTTTCAAAGTGGATACCCAAAAGGGCCCCCAACTATTTTACATGAATTGCTGCATGCAGGGTTCTACTTTTTGACTACCCCAGGGTAGACTTAAACCCAGGGGTGGTTCATGCCCCCCAAAAGGAGAACCCCTGGGTTTAAGTCTATCTTGGGGTAGCCAAAAAGTGGAACCCTGGCTGCATATATTTTAACGCCTGCAGACAGAGGCGGAAACTGGGCGGCCGTTGATCGCTGCAATGCGCCAGCCCACATCGGCAAAGTCCGGTGGCCTGACGACAAGCATGAGATCCGTCGTCCAGTAACATCCGCAAAGAACCATACTTGTCCAGAGAACAGTTGCTGTCCAGACAGCCTCTTGCTGGCCGGCCAGCTTCCACAATAAGGCTGCGGCATGTCATTTTCATTGCACGGGCGGAAGCCTCAGGCAAGTCGACACTGCATTTCAGTGAAGCTCATGTATGCTGAACATATTTGCGTAGGCCAATGCAATAATACGAATTTGCACAACAATGCTGCAAATGCCGAACCCATCTGTCTCAGCCTATAGTTAGCTCATCCAAGGGAAGAAATGCTAAACCCACCATTGGCGGCGCGCTCCGTTTTTGCAGACCTTTACCGTGTACCAAAAGGGTCCAGCGCAGCAAAGCAGCTGTAATCGTAGCAGTGACTGTTTGAAGCAACCCACCAAGCCCCCAAGTGAAAGAGCTGCTTTATGTTGGATGTTTATCAGGGCAACCCGAGTGCCTACCACAAAGTCAGCACGAGTGCAGATCTGCCCGGCCAGCAGCTCTAAGGCACCCGGCTGCGCACTTCCAAGCAGCCCTGCGTGAGCCAAAGCACGAGTCGGGCACGAGCCCTCGAGAAACGCCAAGCCCACAGGCCTTGTTCAAGGGCCGCACATGCATGGCAAATCTCCGCGCGCTGCGGTACCTAAGCAGAGCCAAGCAAACATGCAAAAAACAAAAAACACCTTTGGGCTGATACCACATCTCCGGCAGTCTGACCAAAAAATAACATGCAGGAAAAGCGCCAAGGGATGGGGACTTGAAGTCAGAACTGCCTCTTGAGCATGCAAACATTCGGTGCTTGTATTTGGCAATCCAATCAGAAGTCTCTACGAGCCTCTCCCATCTCAGTCCATTCAAGGCGGCTGAGTGGCTCCTCCTCGCGCCAGATCATGAGGGAGAAGAGCGTATCTGGATCTGTTCCTGCCAAATGCACTGCAAGAATCAACAATGCCGAGGCGTGATTTGGGCCCTTTCCTTCCCCGTACCAATGACATCAAGTTGTCCCTGCTGACAACATATTGTGAAATGCCAAATCGCGATGCAACCCCGGCCCCAGAAGCGAACAAACCGGCCACTTCCAAGCAATGCGTACCCGACTGCCCGACTGCCCGACTCCTTTGGGGTGACTTACATCTGAAAAGTCTATCTGTCCCGCCTCCTCTCTCGGCAGCTGTGACCAGATTCCAATGCTCCGCCGCGCCGCTCTCTTCATCCGCCTGGCGAAGGCCGCGGCTCAAACATCCGAGTCCGGAAGGAGCCTCCCACCAACGAACGAAAGGAACATGGTGCAAGCCAGGACCCGGAACGTCAGGTTGCATGTTGATTGATGGGAGAGTATATGAAACTAGACCGCGCGCATGGCCGGCAAATCCAGACTTGCGGACCTTGAGAGAGACTTATGTGACTCTGGAGCTGAGAGCGCAAAGAGAAAGCTCTGGTTGTCTGCAAACAGACGCGCTGCCAGTGCAAAGGCCATCATTCCACTCTTTCTTTGGAACAATCTCAACACGAATTTGCCCACTGCAATGACCAATTGCGTTGCATCCGCCATGACAGGGCTGTGGACGTCCGCGTTTCAGTGAACACGCTGTTGACTGCATTGATCATGACCAGCACGACGCGTGCTGACGATCAGGATGTCAAGCATGCCCACCATGAACGCATTGATACAGTTGACAGCTGGTTCACCATGAAGGGAATGTTGACATGGATGTACAGGCAGCACGTTCCCTACCACAGGAAGTTAATATGTGTCTCGGCGGGGGCGGTTAACGGCGAATTCACCATGTTCGCCTCGATTGAAAATCGCTTGCGTTATTCTCAGTGGAAACCGCTGGCTGCGTGCGTGCTCAAGTTTTCCATCAGAACATGGAAAGAAGCAGCAAAGCTGTATCACGTCATGATGATATACTCAAGAGGCCAGCTGGCTCAATAAGACGGGTCGCGACATCCAAGAGGGTCGGCGAGGTGCTCATTCATTCTTTCCATCTTGGTCTGCCCTCCACCAAACAAATCCATGGCTTGCAAGGAACTCAGTCGAGACAATGCCAGGGAGTGGGTTGCCAAACAAAAACCGACAAGTTTGACTTCAAGACTTGGCTTGGGGAATTAACAATTCACTTGCCAATTGAAGTCCAAACCCGCGGACAGCCTCTCTCAGTCAACCCTTCTCGGGCTGCAGCCCAGCCTTCGGCGGACGCTCAATGGCCTGGCATGACCCAGTTTCTATCGAAAGACCCCGGCAGGACAAGGCAAGCAACAAAAGGCTCCGGCACGGTGATGATAGGAAAGGACTTCGGACCCATATCATGTGGGCTTCCATGATTTGGGGATCACATGGTAAGAGGAGGTACAGTAGAGTGCGTTGCGTGTTGACTTAAAAGTGCACAACCAGGACATTGACAAAGAAGATCCGAAAACTCGGAATGGGGTCTGTCAGCCCTATCCCTCTCGGCGAAAAATTGAGCGCTCCAAGTTCACTCTGGGCCTCCCGTCCTTTATGCGGACCAGCGAAGCATCACGCAGCGCGCGCAAGCGGACGAGCCCACCAGACACCACTTGCCTGGGCCAAGGCTCTCCTTTAACTCGGACGGGAACAACTGCGACCACCTGTAGTGCTTGAAAGGAACCTAGTCATTGCGAGCTGTCCCTAGTTTTGAATTTTGAACAGCCTCATAACTCATAACTGCACGTCCGCATTCGCAGGTCGGTTCTCGACTCCACGTGTTGACCCTGAAACGGGAATCTCAGATCAGAGAGCGCAGACCTACAAACCACAGCATATGGGACAGCCGGAGTTAGCTTTTTGAGACTTTCAGCCCATCGCCCGCAACAGCGACTGGGAAGGTGTCGCGAAGAATGTGAAGAAGACAAAGGACATCTGTAACAGGAGAGTGGTCCGCCAACATCTGCAGATCAACGACCATCTGGGCGCCATGGCTCTCCCAAGGCGGAGCTGAAACCGAAGCGCTCTTCTTCTGCAGCTTCCACCACCTTCGGCTCACACATGCCACACATATGGCGCTTCCCATATTGTGTCCTGTGTACATCCATACTGCCCCCGGCATGTCTCCAAGTCTGGCATTCAAACGGGCAGCAGGGAATTGCGACCCTCGTTTTGCGTTAAACACAAAAAATCAATGATGGTGAAGAAAACCGCTCCACGCCACACACGCAAGACGCGGCTTGCCGGTGTCTGAGTCCTGTACAAACTTCTGATCTGACGTGTCCTGAGCTCATGAAGCACGCACTGAGGCAGTTCAATGATTGGCCCTAGGAGGCAAGCCTCCTCTTGCCAATGGTCGTGAGGGAAATTTCCCTGACTCATCACCCCACTGAAAGGAGAATGTAGCCCAAAGGGTGATATTTGAAACAAGCAAACGTCTAAAAGTTCAGCAGAGCCTTGGTTCTTTTTGGAAGCGGTCCGACAAGTTCGTCGATCACGTGAATCGGGAATGGGAATTCGATCAAGGATGCCTGGTCAGATTCAGGATGAGTCAAAGAAAGCTATGCCTGGGCAGAGGTCGCACAAGCAATACGTACCATCGAGCGCACATCAAATCCTTCAAGATGATGAAAAGAAGCATGTCTCGGACAACACAGGGATGTGGCTCAGGCACGGGCGCCAGCCCATCGCATCACAACCTCGAAATCCGGAACGGGAGTGGGCCGCTTTCAAGAAACACATCGAACAGGATGTGTCTTTGTCGAGGGTACCCGTTTCACCTTGGCTTGAAGGGAAATCTGAAGGGAAATTCCCCTTTTTGGGGGTCCCCCTGAATCAGTCCGTCTCCTCCTGTTGCTTGCAAGGTGAAGACTGGCAGTTCTTTGCTTTTCGGGCTGAGCAACCAAAAGCCAAGGTCGAGTGCATCTGCTGTATATGCCTGCATTCGAGTCAAGAGAGTACGCATACCTTGTGAGTAACCGGTTTAACTGCTGTTGTGTCCTGAGCACGTCAACACCGTGGCAATGCAAGCAAAGAAAGTGGGATGCCACTGGTTCCCAAGCAGCAAGATCAGCCAGACCAACCAGACCAGTCACGCCAGCAAGACCAGCCAGAGCCCACCAAATCTAGTTCACATACAACCTGCGCAACTTGTGCTGCTGAAATGTCGGATCTGAGTGCCGTGCAGCTTTGTCGTCAGCAACCGTAAGACCACCCCCCGGCCCGCGCAGGTGGATCAAGGCGCCAGTCCTGCTCACTGCAAGATATTGCACCACCCTACCAACTGATCGACCCACCCCCCCGCTGCCGCACGTTCGGCAGATCGCCAGGCTTTGTTCTCTACCAGTTCTGCCGAAATATGAACTGTGAAAACATGAGAAGTAGTCGGATAATTCGCGGGGAAAACAAACTGGTGCCGAACTTCTGCAGTATTCTGTGGAGGTTCAGCGCGTTTGCATGGAACCGCCGAAGATGGAAGAACAAAAAAGGAAGCAGCAAACAGCCGCAAAACCCCTCAGGCAATTGAAGAAAAGCACAAAACATGTCCCACATTGTCCACCAAAATGCAATTTGCGGATGCGCATACTGCTGCAGAGGAGCATGGAATTTGAGAGAGGAAGACCAAGGTGCACACCAGTGTATGTAAGAAGTGAATAGATCCTTCACGTGCTACTGAGCAATTTGTTGAATTCCGCCCTGGGGCTATCAAAGTGCAACCAAATCATGCCAGTGCCTTTCGCTGATTGAGCATTGTCATGATGTCACTTGGCACTGAATTTGAGCGAGCTGCACCTCAAACAATGGAGCAAGTACGGTGGCAATGCACTGCATGGTGGAGGGGGGTAAACTGGCAACAGCGTCGGAGCCAATGCAACCCCGCCGCCTATGATGGAAGAGCGCCTTGTAACTGTAAGTGGCAACATCCCTTCTCACAAGTAACAGTTCAATCGCTTGACACCAACAACCAAATGCAGCAAAAGAAGGCCAACTGCTAGTACTTGCCAAGGGCCTTCACTGCATTCTCAACGTGCACCCGATCAGACCGGCTCTCTGAACTGTCCAGCATGCACAATAGGTTTGGCAAACCCTTTGGCACAAGAAACGATGGCTGGTTCAAAAAGCTACTCAAACCAGCAGTCACAGAACTATAATCGACTCTCAATTTTTCCCACATAGACCTTCAACCGGCTAGAGTATCCTAGTGCTGCTACTGTTGATGTTCAAAGCAGCTACTGCTCGAGCGCAAATGGCCGAACTGCGGAATTGCCCCAACATGCCTCACAAATGCACGCCAGCAGGCGGCAAACACGCTCAGACTCCCCCTGAATCCCTTGCAACGAAGTCAAATGTGGAGCAAGCACACAGATTCATCTTGGACTAGCATGATCCCGGGCCTGAGAGGATTGCCACGGCCAGCAAGGCGCGTGGCAGATCCCGAATTGGAGTTCCTGTTGTCCATGCCTGAGTCATGCAACTGCCCTCAAACTGAGATCTTGATCAGCTAGTGTCGAGCCCAAAACATTCGATAATGTTTGTGAGAATGGCTGTCAACAGAAGCGTCCTGTTGATGGATGGTATGCCTCATACTGTTGATGGCAGCAAGATCAGACTTTGACGTAGTCCCGGCATCTTTGCATCTTCTCATCTTGTGTTCTGTTCATGTTCTTGCGGAGTCTCCCTATTTGTACGGATTTGTTCATTGCATTTAGGAAACTGAGCAGCCTGTATTGTGATCAGCAGCTCAGCCTGCTCAAAGCGGACGGGTAAGAGACGATGGAACCGACGGGAAGTAAATGAATGCATTTTGAATAAAATGCCGTTACACATCAGGCCTCTAACAGGTGAGCAATCTGCGGACTGGGGCCACTTGGATTCACTTTGGCTAATTCCCTGGCTTGCAAAATTGATCAAGTAACTGTCGAGTAGCTCAGTAGCTAAGTGGCTGGCTTGCTGGCTGGCTGGCTGGCTGGCTGGCTGGCTGGCTGGCTGGCTGGCTGGCTGGCTGGCTGGCTCACTCACGCACTCGAGCGGGCTCGCTGGCTGACCAATGCTGGCTGACTGCCTGGTTGACTGACTGACCAACTGACCAAGAAGCCATGCAGTTGACTCACACACGCATTGCCTGACAAGCTAGCAAGCTAACTACCTGCCTGTCTCATGCCTGACGAGCTTTGACAGACTAGCTCAACGTTCAGCGCAGTCTTTCCTTTCCATACAGCAAAAAGTAGCCATGCGAAAACAGGGTTTCAACTGTTGGGCGCACAACGAGGTCACATGTTTCTACGCAGAAAACCACGCCCATCCATGTCGACGAGTTTCTTCTTCAGGAGTGGCTACAAGCACTCATGAATAGCCTACCCATTCCGACAGCAGCTTGGCGCTCATTCAGCCTCATTTCAAGAAGCACGTAGGCTGCTGAAAGCTCCAAAGTCTTTGAACTGTCGGGCTTCTACCCTGCCTAGCAGCGTCTCGTCCTGCTTCTTCCGGGAGTACTTCTTTGAGACGCGATTGCTCGTCTGATTGCAAGGCAACGACACAAAGGGCGTAGCAAGCACAGCAAACTCCAAATAAGCATCGGCATTTTCTACCACTTGGATAATTCAGCAATGCATAAGTGTGGCACTGACACATTGGCGTATTTCCTCACTATGTGTTGCCCCTATAGCTAAAAGAATCAGTCTGCTTATGCTAGAAAGCAAAAGGATAGTCAAAAAGCCTTGTCAAGGCAGTAGCCTTTAGCTTCTCTGTCCTGCTCCGTTTATGGCAAAAGCTCCGAGGCGGTTGATTTTTCAAACCAAAATTCGAGGACCGGACATCGAAACCGCTTGCATGTTGCTGTCTCCTAGCCTTCAGCACGTCCTTCTGAGACTCTTCAAAGGTGGTCCCTAGAGACCGGAGAGCCTGCTCCTAACGAGAGAGAGCCCCTCGAGGCATTGATGCATGTGCTTGCGTCTCGAAATAGGGAACCCTCTCCCCCCAAAAAAAACAACACAACATGGATCGTCTGCCTTTTGGTGTCCCTTTCAACCAACCCTGAACATGGTGCTCAAAAAATCGACAGACCCATGTCGCTTGCTGTCCAGGCAGTAGGAGACTTTGGCGCTCAGGAAACGCGCATCCCACTCGGTGGTCTGCATCTCCTGAAGACAAGCAAACGACAAGAAAAACACAGGGATATGGGTATGCTTTAGTCCATGTTTCCAGGTTCCATTGTGGGTACACTTTTTTGACCCAGAGCCATATGAATCTTCATTGGGGACCTTGATTCATGTCCACCAATCACTCTTGAGGTGGTTCCCTATTAAAATTCATAGCCACATGGATATTTGCCACTTTGTTCAACCACCAGGATATGCACCGCAGATCTTAGTCCTGGTGTCCATTTACCAGGGTTCCCTTTTTTGGGTCCACATGTGCCATGGGCAAAACTTAGGTGTTCCATGGTCATGGTTCTTTCAATACGAAGCTGGATCAGTGCTTGTCTAAGCCTCTCAATAAGGTTTGATGACCATCCCAACAACCGCAAGTGAGGGGCTCTTTTGACTATGGCACGCATGTGCTGCAGCGTTGACCGTGGCAGATCCAGAACTTCGTCGCGTGACGACACCCAGCTCAACGAATTACGGTCCGAAACAAGTCGCAGCTTCAGTTTGTGTTGTATGTTTGTGCTAGCAGTCATTTGCGCCGTTTGCAGTCAACACAGTGCCTCAACAAATGTTTGGAGATTGCATAAGCATATATGCTTACCCAGGCGGCAGCTGGGTGGCAGCTACTGCAAAATGAGTACTGGTCAGGAGAGGTCCCCAAAGCTCGGTGCAAGCCCCGCGCGGGGCGCTCCGGCAAGTCCGCCCGCAGGACAGCACGCTGCAGGTGGCTCGGCCGGTGGGGTGCCTCAGCTCCATGTGGCGGCCTGCCATGTGAATGTATCTTTACACATTTAGCATACACAGCTTTTTGGCTGGTGTATTAGCAAACAAGTGTAAGCAAACACTGTATTGGCAAACACTGGTTTAGCCATCTGAATGTGGTGTGGTAGCAAACACATATTTTTTGCAGGCGGCATATGACAAATGAACAGAACCGAACAAACAAACAACCTAAGAACTTGCCAACAACAGTGAAGGTATATGAAATGATAATCAATATGTTAGTCCTTCACCAACTTTGGGCGGAAATTACCCCGGTTATGCTGCTTGCCGCCTGTCTCCATGTCCGCATGTGTAAAAATCAGCTCACGACAGAGGAAAGATTTCGCGGTCCCTGTCCCCCCATTTGGCTCCAGCCTGGGTGCCCCACTCTCTGGATCTTTGCCATGATGCGCCTCTGCTCTGACTGCCAGGACCGGGACCTTGGAATGATGCCACAGCGCTAGCGCCCTGGTGCTGGCTGGAAGAGGATGAGACCTTTGTCTGCAAGGCTCGCTTGAGACGGGTGAGTTTTGCTCAGTGCCGGGAAGTGACTTCGATTGCTACCTCTTCAACTGTTCTTTACACTCCTGCACATCTATGTATCCAGTGCCCAAATGAGTCACGCGAATCTTTGGGAGTGTAAGAAAGGCGAAGAAGCTGTGCATCGAAGCAAGCTCCACAGCTGTCGCAGCTTTCTCCGAACCACGTGTATCACTGCGTTGGCAAATCATAGGGCCAAAATCAGAACCTCTGTTGACAAATTGCCCGTTGGAAAGCTTAAATGCAGTGGAAAAGAAGCCCCAGCTCGCGTCACCCAAAAGATCGGACAACCCCAAGATTGGGCCCCGCGCATTCCAGCTTCTACTCCCAGAATCCGGTTTCGCAGAACCTGGCAGCTCAAGCAGATCTTCTCGGAAGAATTAAAACAAAGGAAATCCCTTCAAAAATGTAATGCTCAAGAGTTGCGCATGTAAATAGCGTGGGGGTCTACGTGCCTTTGCAAGTACACAAATATCGGTATGCAAACCTCTGAAGCAAGCGGACATCGCCAACAGTATGGAACATGACCAGTGTTCGGTCGGTCAAATCAACCACCTCCACCTTTGTTTTTTAAAACAAAAACACAGATACTCCATTGCCATTGGCCTTTCTCAGATTGGTGCTGAAACCAACCTGCAACAAGAAATTCCCTGCGGCCGCTCTCTTGGACTCTGCTGGGCGCCTGCTGAGTCACGTTGAAAGGACGCATGTGCCACCTCGGGCATGGCGATTGCATGCGGGCAGCAGCACCTTTTTCTTTCAAGGGAAACCACATCTAGCCAGCCGCATAATATGTCGCTCGCTTTGTCACTGCCGGTGCAACGGCTTGCCAGATTTTAAACTGGCAGCTGGTATCACCGGAATTGATTGAGCCAGCATCAAACTTACTGTTCGCTTCATCTATGCGACCCCATTTGTCTGCAATCACGTTCCTGTTGCATGATGGTCAATTGCATCCCAACTTGCTGATGCCACGCCAACAAGCTCCTCGCCTTAGGCTGACAGCTGGATCTCCAATGAAAAACGCTGAGGGCGAAGCATTTCCACTGGAGCCTGGAAGCACATAGGGTCGGGAAGAGTTTTCAGGGAGGTCAATGAATTCAATCTTATTGAGCAGCCTGAGGTCACCGTACGCCCATGTGCCATCTGACCTACCACAATTAGCTACGAAAAGCACGTAAGCAAAAGACAGGCGGTGGCCCGGACAAGGCTCACAGGCAATAGGGTCAGGCACAAGTGCACCTAATTCACTCAAGCGCAATGTGACCAACAAGTGCGTGGTTGCCATGTGTTTGCCTGTGAACAGTGAGAAGCACAGGTCAAATCTGACCATGCCAGGCAACATCGTCACATGTTCTGCCAGTAGTTCTGTACATGCAAATAACACACATGCTTACAAATATGTGCGCATGTTCTGAGAGCAATTGTTCAAACAACACCGCGGCACAACAGGATCTCCACCCTCGTCGCGCCGTGCTGCGCTTGACATCTTGGGCGGCTGGCGATTGACTGGAGTTCCCTAGAACATGGACATCATTTGCGTGACTGCAAGCTCACTAGCACGTGAATGTGAACATCTTGGGTTGCCTTGCACCTCAATTGAGGCACCCTGGACAACTCTCGCGTAAATGCATCCATGTGGAAATGTGCAAGCCTCTAATCAAGGAAGCATGAAACCACCCACTTATATAACCATTCGCTGCGGGGAAATCCTACATATGAAGGTTCAGCGCTCCCGCTCATTCAACTCCTGAATCTTGTGCTTGCTGTCGCGATGGGGAACAGCAAAGCGTGTTATATTGCCGACAGTCAACTTAAGTGCTACTTTTGTCTTCGCAAGACGAATAAGCTCAGGCGACATCCCCAGAACCTTACCTCAGAGCCGCCCCGGACCACCCCGGAGCCTATTTGGGCTGAGACCCGAAAGCTTTCATCTGTTGGGGAAAAGAATCAAGGAGAAAGCGGCAGTGGCAAGTGCAGGCATGGCGATGCAGCAACGAAAAGCATCAAATCTATTGTATGTGATCCCCTCAATCGAATGTGGAATTGTCCTCCAACATATCCCACAAGGAGGCAGCCTGCCTCCAGGAGGGTCCGCACAGCCACAAACTGGCGAAGGAAGAAGCCTTTGCCGCATACGTCAGTCAGGGTCTGAATGATCTATTGCTTGACAAGGCAAACTGTCACAGCTCGATTGCAAGCTTGAAATCTTGTTGTTCTACGACAATGGATGTCTGCGCCAGTCATAACTTGTGCTTTGCTCATGTTCGTCTCCTGCGAGCAAAGTCTTCCCCGTGCCGCTTGGCCGCCAAAAGCACAAGGCCATTCAAAGTTGCTGATGCACAAAGACCATGCGAGTGGAGTCACCAAGGCCTGTGCCTAGCAGGATCATGGTGATCGTACTGAGAACGAAAGCTGCGATGATAAGTGCATCGTCCTCTCAGGGATCAGAGTGATCAATGTAAATTGCAATTCTAGGAGGTGAAGCCAAGCGCAACTCATGGCAAAGCAGTCGATTGACATATCGGGCGAATGCCACTGGACGCATTCCACGTAGAGTCCTTCACTGCTTCCCAACCCTGGGATTTCGACGAAGCTTGGGTTGCTCAAAGCAGCTCTCATTGAGTTTGAAATATGTCGCTTCCTACCACATTGTTTAGATTCCCTGTTTGCAAAGTGTTGTAAAAAACAACAAAGTGTGGGGGTTGGATGAATGCAACAAGCTAAAGATCATTTGGAAAAACGCAACTTCGACAGAAAGCAAGACTGTTGAGCACAAACACATGCACCTTCTTGGCGCTGGGCATACGAGTTCCTTGGCGCTGCTGCATGTGTAGCTGTCTAACGCTGCCTAGAAGCCTTTGAGTCTCGTTGACACAAAGCCGCTGAGAGTCAAATGCAGTGACAGAAAGCGCCATGGCACCCAAGATGAAGTTGCAAATGCCTGCTTTTATCCATTCCCCGGAGATTACTTTGAGATTCTGCCATGCCTTCCCACTTCTCGCCTCCTCTTTGCCAACAAAACGCATTGTGGTGATCCGACTGTCGCTGACCCTCACGAACAGGTCCTTGAAGATGTCTCGCGCCGCATCGACATTCCACCTGGCTCGCAGCCGCCCAAGCGCGGCGACGGACTCCATCACAGGCGCTCCAACAACCTCTACCAAGCCTTTACCGGGGATCCCCCAAAAGGTGAGCGGGTTCCATGCAAGTGCAGTCCTTGTTCCCATGAGGCCATGGGTCAAAATCCAAATCATACCCCCAGTGAACATCCCAATCCAACCACTAAAATTGGCTCTAAAATGGGTGGTGAATTCACCTACCCACCAAAACCGGATCAACCACAACGGTTTTGACAACCACAGCCATGAAAGCTTCCCCAGCAAAAAGACTCCCGAAACCGGGCCCGAGCGGCTCTAGGCTCCAGCCCATCAGGGCCAACATACCCGCAAGCTCTAGAACGCGCCAGGAGTAGTAGAGCTCTGGCCTTGGCAAAGGTCCCTGTGAAAGTCAGGGTCAGTTGGCTGTGGGTCAAAAATAGGTGCCCAAAACGGAACCCTGGTAAATGGAACCAAAGACTAAAACTTGCGGTCCCCTGGCCAGTTAGGTATGGGTCAACACTAAACCACCAGGATATGGACCACAGGTCTCAGTCATTGTTTCCATTTACCAGGGTGCCATTTTGGGTA